GAAGGACTTCCTCAGGCTGCAACTGCTGCCGAGCTCTGTCACAGCCACGGTAGGATGTGTGGAACACACACCCGTGCCTGCATGCCTGGGGCTATGGAGCCCAGACCCCACAGTTTGAGGCTATCATTTCTCTGTGCCCGCTGGTGCCATGATCACAGAAGTAGCATGCCCAGGGCACAGGTCCCAGAGCAGCCCTGCCTGCAACATGGAGAAGCTACTACACTGATCAAAAGGGCAAAACCGTGGACACGAGTTATTGATAAGATCGAGGCTCTCTTCTTTTTTGGTATGTGTGTTCATGTGTGTGTGTGTGTTTAGGTGTACACACAAATATATGTGCAGGTACTTGTGCATATGGAGGCCAGAGGGAAATGATTGGTATCCTCCATGTTCTCCATCTTAGTTTTGAAGCTGGTTTCTCGCTGAACTTGAAACTCAATATTTCTAGGCTGACTGGAGAGCTCCTGGAATCTGCTTGTCTTCCTCCTGGTCACTCCCACCTCCATCCCCTAAACTCTGGAATTGTGGGTGCTGGGAATCCAAACTCGGGTCCTCTCGCTTGCCCAGCAAATGCTCTTACCCCCTGAGCCATCTCCACCATCTGGTGGGGTAGTTTTCTGATGCTGTATCTGTGAGGCAAATCTCTGCAGCCCCGAGTGAGAATTCTCAAACCTAGCCGCCCATCTGAGTCAGCTGGGGGAATGCTTGTCTTCTGCTTATTTTTGGTCCTGAGGATGGAGCCCAGGGCTTCATGTGTGAGAGCGAGCTACACTCCAGCCTCTGTTTAGTGTTTTTAGATAAGCAAGTTCCAGCGCCGTCCTTGTGCCTTCAAGGTCTGGCGTTGGAACTCTAGAGTCCACACCTTCAGGAGCCTCCATCTACGGGTTCTCATGTGCAAACTGCTTTGGGTTCTGCCTCAGTTTCTTTTTTCTGATGCTGTAGTAATGTGCCCTGATCAAGGCAACTCGAAGGCTCACACTCCACAGGGCAGTCCATCATGGTGGTGAAGTCAGGTGTCAAGAGCTTGAGGCAACTGGCTGGCCTTGCACGTGCAGTACAAAAGCGGACTGATGAACACATGCTCAGTTACTGCTAAGCTCTTTTTCTCCGTTTTGTTCGGTCCAGGACCTTATGCTCAGGAATAGTCCCGCCCACAGTTACAATGAGTCTTCCCACATCAGCTAACATGCATGCCCGGAGACCTGCGGTCTGTCAGTTCAGCAGTTCTGACGAGAATCCATCTACTATCAGTAATGACAGATGCTTACCTTGAGCTGGGCACGATGGGGCAAGTCTGTGATCCCAGCACGTGGGAGACTGAGGCCGAGATTTCAAATTGGTAACCTGCACTATCTATATAACATACCCTGTGTGTGTGTGGTGGGGAGAAGCCCTATTATAGAGATGTTTTACTTGGCAGGAAGAGAGAAGGGAGGCCATAGCTACAGAGACAGAGGGTCACGGTGCCTTGGCAAAAGTCCACAGTGAGTGACAATGGGTGGGGTGACTCGTGGATGTATGAATACCATTATGAATGAAGCTTTTAGCTGGACACGGTAACACAGACCTGTAACTCCAGCACTTGGGAGATAGAGGGGGGGGGTGGTGGTCAGGATTTCAAGGGCAGCCTGGCTACGTGAGACTCTGTCTAAAAAGGAAAAAAAAATGCCTTCCCCATTTTGTGTGTGTTGGGGAGTTGCATGTGTACATATACATGCTTGCATGTTTGTGTGTTTGCGGAGGTGTAAGTCATGAAGCCTGCAGGCCTGAGCTTGATCCGTGGAATTCACACGGTAGGGAGAGAGTCAATTCTTGCTCTGATCTCTATACACACGCCGGGGCATGTGTGTCTCCCTCTAATAAATAAATAATTTTTTTTTTTTTAAAAAAAAGCAGCGTAGGTAGAGAGGGGGTAGCATGAGCTCAGCACACCAGTGCTGCTGTAATGGCATCTGTGTTATTTTCACTTAATATTTTCCCCACGCATTCGGGTTCCTCTCCCACCACCTTCTTACATCTGCAGGGTTCTCTTGTGTAACGCTGCCGGCTTGTGTTCATCTCCTGTTCCCCACACATGGTACTCCAGCAGCAGCGAGGATGGTGCCATGTACTTCTCGAGTCCTCCGTGTCCCTGACACTTCTCAGAGGCTGTTTCTACGTCCACCAACACCTGCTGCCAGCCTCGCTTCCTTACGGCTCCTTTTCCATCACATCCCTCTCCTGCTCACCAGTCCCTGGAGCTCTGCTCTCTGCAGGTTAGGCAGAGCCACAGCCCAGCGTTCAGAGTCCTCCACAGCGATCCAGCTAGTCCTCATTTTCACGTCAGCCCCTTATCCATGTCACCACTGCTGCCCCAGGGCTGTCTAAACTCACCTCCCTCTCCCCACTGGATAAGGTGGGTCTCATGTCCTGGTTTCTGGAACTCTGCATAGGCCCTTAATCTTCCCAGTGGAGTATGAGCGTCTGAAGCACTACAGGCTGCCAGGACAGGACTGAGTTAGTGCCCAAGACAGCTTATACAGACTTGCAAGGGGTAACCTTGTCTCATCACCCAGAAAGGAGAGTCCTCAGCCGCTGTGTGCCCCTGCTGGACCGCCCATCCTGTGGAGACAAGAGCTTGGTTTTGCAGCTTCCATAGGATTGCCATGCTCTATGCTAGGCCTGTGTGGCTGGTGCAGGGCCAGCTTCCTGGGTGTCATGCTGTACTGAGCTTCATCGTTCCTTGGCCGGGGGAGGGGGGTATTTGGAAATACAGAGCCCTGGGCACTTCAGGCATTCGGGGGTATTGGGGAGCCTGGGCACCATATCTGCTACAGAAATGCTGCAGATGGTGCTATAGGGTCTGAAGTCATTCGGTACCAGGTCTTCTGGGGCCTCCACAGACCACCTGCTGTGGGAGAGGTACCGTGCCCCTCGTTGGAGATCTGAAAGGAAAGGAGATGGGGAGAGGGGGTGGGGCCTTCACTGGGGGTAGTTGTTCAGATGAGGAGGAGCGTGGGGAGGGTCAGGAGGAGAAATCAGCGGCTAGACTCAGTCCCTCAGCCTCTATCTTAGGCATTAGGGCAAACCAGAGTAAAGTCGGTGTCCGGAAGCCAGTAGGAGCCGGTGAGCTGGAACCAGGGGTTAGATACCAAATTCAGTGAGAATGGGAAGGGGAGTTAGACACCAGGTTCAGCGGGAATGGGAAGGGGGGTTAGACACCAGGTTCAGCGGGAATGGGAAGGGGGGTTAGACACCAGGTTCAGTGGGAATGGGAAGGGGGCTTAGACACCAGGTTCAGCGGGAATGGGAAGAGGGGCTAGACACCAGGTTCAGCTGGAATGGGAAGGGGGGTTAGATACCAGGTTCAGCGGGAATGGGAAGGGGGTTAGACACCAGTTTCAGCAGGAATGCAAAGGGGGTAATAGACACCAGGTTCAGCGGGAACTGAACGAACAATCTCAGTGTTCTCAAAAGTGGGAACAGAGAGAACTGGGGTCCTGAGAATGGTCACCAGTCCATAAGGCCAATTTCTCAAATGTCTCAATTTAGATCCTGACCTTCTTTTGACGGGTCATTGACCCTTGGAGTCACTGTGGGAGTCAACTTGTGACTGTGACTTTGAGCAATGTAGTTAATTTCTGAGTCTCTTTATATAAGATAGAGTGGAAGGCTGCATACCTGCCCCCACAGACGTCTGCGTCCCAGTCCCTACACCTGTGACTATGTGAACTTACGCGATAAAAGGGGCTCTGAGACACGATGAAGCAGGAGATCTTGAGAGATGACATCATCAAGTGTGTCCCCACATAAGGCAGGCAGCAGGACCAGGGTCCAGGGATGCAGGTATCCAAGTGTGTCCCCACATAAGGCAAGAGGACCAGGGTTCAGGGATGACATCATCAAGTGTGTCCCCACATAAGGCAGGCAGCAATACCAGAGTTCAGGGATGGAGTTATCCAAGTGTGTCCCCACATACAGCAGGTAACAAGACCAGAATTCAGGGATAGAGTTATCCAAGTGTGTCCCCACATATGGCAGGCAGCAGGACCAGGGTCCAGGGATGAGAGGACAGCAGATCAAGGACAGGACACTCTGCTGCTGGCTCTGGCAATGGAGCAAGGGGCAATGAGCCATGACCATAGGCAGCTTCTAGAAGCTGGGGCAATAGGAAATGGTAGCCCATACTAGGCCTGAAGTCCCATTCAGACTGCCCTGACCTCCAAAACAGAGGAAGGATGCATTTGTGTTGTGAAAGCCTCTAAGCTTGTGGTAATTGTTGTGAGCACCTCCAGGGAGAACAAGAACTCTGCTGAGTCCTCCTGCAGGGGTGAGGATGGGTGATGGGGTGGGAGGTGGGGGAGGTGGGGGTGGGGTGAGATGGGGTGGGGGGATGTGGGGTGGGGGGAGGTAGGGTGGGGGGAGGCGGGGCTCAAAGCTCACATCAGAGAAGAGCTAAAGTCAAGTAAAACTTGATAAACAGCAGGTATCTCAAGCAGGGATAAGACAGAGGTGGAAAGAGGGAATGGAAAGGGAGGGGAGGGAAGGGGACCCCCAGGTGGCTCTTTCTGCTACACCCCACCCCTGTGGTTGGAACGGTTACGGAAACATCAGGAATGCTCTGAGACTGTCTGGCTGCAGTCCCATACTCCACCAGTCCCAGATCCCAGTCCTGTCTCCTAGCGAGCAAGCATCACGTGGGCTGAGATTACTTCCTGGTTCCCCATCTCTCTGGAATTCAACCTCTGAGGCTAACTTCTGGCTCACCCAATGACTCCTGTTTTCCAGAACCCACAGGCTTAGCACTGGGCCCTAGCGGTCCCGGTCCCGTGTCACACCTCCTCCAGGAGGTGTCCTAATCTCTTCACCTTGGAGACAGACTGTGACTAGGACCTGAGCAAGACGGAGGCCCAGAGGATAGGGTGCAGGACCTCCCGTTTCTCTCCGAGCCGTGGGGGTGGGCTGGCAACCTTGCGGACTCCCCTGAAGCTGTCCCCTCTGCCCCCTCTGGTCTCTCCCAGGTACCTTCGTCTCAGCCTTCACTGTGCTGTGTGGGGCTCGCACTGACCTCCCAGACAGGCATGTGTGCTGCGTCTTCTGGCTGAATATCGCTGCGGCCCTAATTCAGGTGCTCACGGCCATCGTTATGGTGGGCTGGATCATGAGCATTTTCTGGGGCATGGACATGGTCATCCTTGCCAGTGAGTAGCAGCTGGTGTGCTGAGGGCAGAGCGGGGTGGGGTCTGGCAGGGTGCCAGAGCTGTGGGAGGAGCCTAGGAGGGACAGGAGGCCTACACTTGGGCTAGGACCTCTCACCCCAAAGACACGGCTTCCAAGGGCGCACCTGGTCCTCTGCCCTAGTGCCATGGCCACCTTTCCAGAGCCCTCTCTATCATACCAGCCCTGCAGGGTGGGTCTCCCAGGGAGGGCCCTCTCCAGCAAAGATATCACTCCCCACCTCCATCGAGGAAGCCGTTCTCCCACTGAGCCGGGGTAAACTGGTGTATTCAGAATGAGGTCGGTCTCCAGCCCGTGGCTGTGTGCCCACATCACAGTTTCTAAAGGAAAAATAAGGCCACGCAGTCTTCACCGCAGGAAGCCGTGTAACTGTGTTGTACACACAGAGCGGAATGACTCCTCGCGGGGTTAAACTCACTCTTTGGTTGGTTGGTGCCAAGCCTTACAAGTTCTCACTGTCTTTGAAGGTGTTATTGATTCAGTTATTGTTAATACAAAGTCAGCTTAGGCACGAAAGTGTTTTTGGGGAAGTGTACGAAGTTACAACATCAAACTTACCAAAGGCAAATAATCAGTTCAAAAATAACCTGGCAGACTCTTCAATCAGACAGCACCTGTCTTGAGCAGCTGTTTCCCTGTACCTCCGTTCCTGATCCCACCTCACTGGGAGGAATAACTGGGGCCACATCTCTTCAGTCACTTGCTTTTCATACCCCGTCCCTACACGCTGCTCCTCACTGGGTGTACAGGTTGAATCGCCAGTGTGGAGGAAAGCTGTACCAGGTGAGGGCCCTAGAGGCAGGAGGAGAAGCCAAGTGACAGAGGCCAAAAAATGACTCAGAATAGTCTAGAATGGTCCAGAACCTACTTAGCCTTAGTTGGGGTTCCTTGAAAGATGCAGGAAACTCAGGCGCACACACAATGCTAGGACCAGAGTCGGTGAGTAATTAAATCTCCCCCCCCCCCCTAAAGAAGGTTCAAGGGTCAGAGCCGGGTGGGACTGACTCAGTGTGGGTGGCCAGGGTGCCAGGCTTGACAGCAAAATTTTCAGAATTCAGAGAGGAAGTCAGTGGGTTGAACTGTTAGGCTGTCCTAGAGCCAGGGGAGGAGCGCCAGGTGCCAGTGAGGGGAACATTCCTGTCTGCCTGGAAGAGCCTCAGCTCAAGGTGAACTCACCCTGCATCTGATGACTCCTAGTGAGTCTCACTTTCACTGTGGATGTCCCAGGAGCATGTGGCCACTTCCCCGGGGACATGTGGGACGTCTGCAGGCCCCAGATCCCATTCCCAGTTAGATCTAGGAAGTGCAGCTACTCTAGAAAGCCTGGGAGGCCTCTTTCTGTTATTGTAACAAACACCTGGGATAAATCAACTTATCAACAAAAACGAGTTACATCACCCTGGGTTTTAGAGAATTCAATTCAGGCTTGGTTGGCTTTATTGTTCTGAGTTGTGACCGGATAGCACTTCATGGCAGGACAAAAGCCATTCCGGGGAGGGGAGAGAAAGAGAAGAAACAAGAGTCTCCAGATACCCTTCAAGAAAATGCATCAATACCATAGACTTCCTGTTAGGGGGCCAATCTTTGCACCTGGGCCTTCAGGGGACATTCGAGGTCTGCCATGGCAGTAAGGGATACGCCAGACTCAGTCTCAATAGACGTGTGTTGATGCCAAATCTGGTTCCCAGTTTCCTGAATTCAGATGCTCTTTGGCTTCCCTCAGATTACTGCCCACCGAGCCCTTCACATGCCATGACTACCATGTCAAAAATGAGCTCAGGACCCCAAGTAATACATGTTAAACTTGAAATGTCATGAGTTGAACTACTATAAATTATCAGTCATCTGTGCTTGTCTTTGGTCCTCCTTAATCTCCAGGAACAGGGGTCTAGACCAAAGCCATAAGTTTAAGAGCACTCCTGTTAGCCCTAGATGAGACAATGTAGATCCCAAGATGTATAGATGGGGGTCCATGCTCTCCCTCCCTGCCTGTCTCTCAGGTTGCTGGCTTGGCTGGAACTCCACGAGCTGATGCAGGAGCTATAATCTGGCTGCAGGATGTACAGATATCAGTGCCCCCAGCCCAGCTCTTATTCTGGACCTGTAGGTTCCCTTGTGGGTTTGTCAGTCCCCTGGGTATCTGGGATACATTCAGAGTTTCTGTCTTGGCACCAAACTTTTTGCCATGACTTTTGGGGGGTCTTCAGAAGAAAATCAGTCCCTATCTCCTCTTCCCAGACTGGCAAATACACCCACCAATATCAATAGCCATCACCTTTTCACCTCTTCTAAATATCACACTCACCTTCAAAAGATGGATGCACCCCTCTCCTGTGATGGACTGGGGTTGCTCTGGGCAGCCATGTCTAAGGAGGTGTCTTGGGATGGCCCCTAGGAAGGGAACAACTGCAACTGACCTTGTCCCAGGAACAGTCGGGTAGAGGGTTGGTCCTTTGGCATCACTCAACATAAAAACACAGGTTGGGTTTCACATGACACCTTGGCCACAAGCGACCACAGTATCAGATGAAAGCTTCTGAGAGGAATCAGAGAGTTGGCTGAACAGAGATGCTCCATCTATGATAACAGTGAACAGCAACAGTTGTAGCAGCTTAACGGCTGGTCAGCGCTTGCCTGGTAGCTCTCTTAACTGCTCTTCCCATTGCTGCATCAACAGCTGGCGTTGATAATCATTTGTGATATCTGTCTCGGCACAAGGCTCTGGGAAGTCATTTCTAATGGATCCAAGATGACTTCCATCCTCAGGTCTTTCCCAAAGCAGTAGACTTTATAAATGCAGGTTCAGTCAGTAGACGGGACTAATCGCTTAGCCCAGACAGAGCTGGGCTGGGACCAGGGCCAGTTACTGTAGCATCTTTAGCTTGTCAGTCACACCTGCCTTCTCTGTACCTGTCCCTCTTCTAAATCACCCAGAATGTGCCCCGAGAGCATGGGCTGGGACCAGGGAATAAAGAAGAAATAAAGACAGGAAGCAAGCAGGGGCGTGGGCATAGCTGAAGGGGGCACTGGGCAGACAGGGGCAGGGCAGTGTGATACAATCGCCTGCTGAAGCTGGCTGCTGGCCACCGTGACTGGTCACTGGGAAGACTAAGCCCACCTTGGTTGAAGTCTGGCTTCACAGGTCTTTGGTAGAGTACCCCTTCACCTTACGTCCCCAGTGCTTTGGCTGCTGTGTTCAGACCGTTTCTCTTTCTCTCTCCTCTTCCTGGTGCTGCCTTGCTTCTCTGCGGCTGCAGTCTCTCAAGGTGAGTCTGTTGGTAGAGTGACATCCTCTATCCTGCACAGATATCCCTCCCTCTTAATTGGTTAACAGTTAATTGCAGTTTTAGCTTTTATTTGGGAAGGAGAGTACCTAGCATTACAGGTCCCTAACGTCTCTACCATCTCTGTCCACTCATGGCCTCACTTCTATTGCTCCTAGGCCCCTAATCATCATTGGATTGTTAGCTAAGGCTGACAGGTGGCCCACTACCTAGACAGACCCAGTTGGGACTCCGGGCCTTCCTTCTTAGACCAAGGTAAATGTCTGGCAGGGTCACAGCTTGGTCCACCCTTCCCTGCTGTCTAACCCCATCCGATGAGCAACAATTCCCTGGCATCATCAGTGCTCCCAGAGAAGGCTGTGGATACAGCCCAGGGAGAAGCACTAGTCAGTGCACATGAGGGCCTGGGTTTCATCTCTGATACTGGAAAACAAAAAAATCACACGATTAGCAACAATGTTCTGAAGACTCAGTGTGCTCCAGTCCTGTTCCTGTCCCAGCTACCCAGCTGGCTGAACATATGTCAGACAGTTGTTCCCTTCTTGGGTGGCCAACTTCCTCCCTCCGTCCCTCCGTCCCTCCGTCCCTCCCTCCCTCCCTCCCTCCCTCCCTCCCTTCCTCCCTCCCTCCCTCCCCCCTCCCTCCTCCTCACCCTCCCTCCCCCTCCC